ACAAAAAGTTAAAACTTTAAATAACGTTTTCTCAAATGAACATTTCTGGAAAATTGAGAACCTGCTATGACAAACTAAAAAACCAAATAGAACAAATAACTAATTGGAAAAACTCAAATGTCTGCTCATGCTTGGTTTCAGAGCATTTTCATTTATTTGAACATGGATGCTTTGACAGCAACGGGTTGGCTATACATTGTTTTATTTATATTGAGGTCCAAATCAAATGGCATTTTTACCTTCACTTTATTTTATTTAATTTTATTTTTTAATTTTATTTATTTATTTTTCCCCCAAAGCCCCAGTAGATCATTGTATGTCATAGCTGCACATCCTTCTAGTTGCTGTATGTGGGACACGGCCTCAGCATGGCCAGAGAAGCGGTGCGTCGGTGCGCACCCGGGATCCGAACCCAGGCCGCCAGCAGCAGAGTGCACGCACTTAACCGCTAAGCCACGGGGCCGGCCCTTTACCTTCACTTTAATCAAATCTATACCGCCATATAGGGATTTTCCTCCTCTCTCTCTCTCTGCATCCAAAGCTTTGTGATTAAAAGAATGACTGGAGAAGGGCTTTTGAAGGAGTGACTGACAGGACAATTCTGCTGGTAACCATTTACATTTTTAGCTTTTGTGCCTCAGCCTGGCCCTGTTCCTACCCCTGGGACCAGAGAAAGAAAGGTGTGTTAGCAGCTTCCGGCCTCTCCTTCTCTAAGTCCCTAGACAAAAGATGTGCCAACCAATTGCAGGCTTCTCCATCACCACCACCCTGCCTTTCCCCAGCAGTGTGCTTAAAGGCTCCTCAGTCATTGAGTCCTGGAATGATAAAGCTGGAAGGGGAAAACACATCTTCTATCCCCCGTTGAATAAAATGGTGTCTGCAGCTGATCATCTTTTTGGAGATATCTAGAAATACAGCAAATAAAGGCAGCAGAGCAAAATTAATATTTATTTCTTTTTATTAGTCTCAAATTAAGCTTGAAGAATAAGAAATACAAGTCAACTACTGAATAGTTGAGCTTACTTTAATCAACAAAATTTGTCCAATTATCAACAAATCAAGCGCTTAGCCAAGTATCGGGTGTGGCACAGTGAACGAGACAGGCTGGCTTACATTCTAAGGTGGAAAGCAGACAGCTTCAAGTTGGATGGATGCTATAATGAACAAATGCAAGGCGCAAAGTATTTTAAAAACGGGTTTGGGAGGCACGCATCCGATCTAATCTAATCTACAGGAGGACTCCTTATGGAGGTAAAAGTAAGCTATTCTAAGGATGCTAGATATTAACTAAGTCAGTGGTTCTCACTGTGGTATTTGGAAATTGATGGGTTGTCAGTTTCATAATAACTGGGACTCTGACTGGTATTGAGTAGCTGCAGCCAGGGATAACAGATGTCCTGCAGCGTATGGGTTAGTCCCACACAATGAAGAATTATTCGGTACCCTATACGACTTTCTAATGTCCTGCTGGACATTTATGTAGGACCTACAGCTCACTTAAGAGAATATAAGTCATTTTTTCCTCTTAAGCAATCTGTAATTTCTCTTGTCCTATTATCCTTATTTCAATTAAGGTAACTTCGCTCTTTTCCTTATATACAGATAAGATATATGGGCTGTTAGGACTTACCCTAGTACTGGTCTTCATTCTAGTGTCACCCACACCTCTAACCTTTCATTTTCCTGTACTTCTTTACAGGAAGCAGCCTCTGATCGACTTTTAAATCCAAACCTATTCACTGTAAGTAGGAGTAAATATCTGTCTATTTCATGATGTCATATAGCGTAGTCATGCCTGAGCATTTACATATTGAAATTCATTTTATTTTCATTACAAATTTATTTCCTTCTGTTTCTCCATTACAATAGAGTTAGGGCATTAAATTGATTTTTTAAGAAACTCATGTGTGTAAGTAGATTGTATAATCTCTGAGTCATCTCAGGACAGCAAAGGGGATGTCACGAAATGTTAGTGCTCTGAAAAGGGTGACTAGATCTGATAGGGTTTGTGGTTGCCACCATAATTGGGGGTAGGAGAGGGTGCTACTGGCATTTCGTATGTGAGAGCCAAGTATGCAGAGCATCTTGCAATACGTTGGACAGTTCCTCACAATAAGGAATTATTCTGCACCCTATACGAATTTTGAATGTCTCACTAGACATTCATGTATGACCTACAGCTCGTCTGCAAAAATATATTATTTCCTCATTTTCTCCATTTCAACAATCTGTAGATTTTCTTGCATAGTATCTTTATTTCAGTTAAGGCTATTTCGTTCTTTCTTATAGAAATAAGTATTATCATATGCAAATAAGTCATTGTATCACTAGTTTTTATTCTGATGTCCACTTGTATGCTTGCTTTTTCATTTTACCATACTTCTTTGTACAAAATAGCTTCTGATCTCCTACCTTTTAAGTTCAAATTTATTCATTATAAGTAGGTGTAAACATCTGACTACTTAATTAGGTCTTCTAGTATAGTCGTGCCCAAGTTATGCACCTTTTATGTTAATTTTATTTAAATTTTAATTTACTTCTAAAATTGTGTTTAGGCCGAGTATACTACCACTGAATTGCATGTTGAATCCCTGCATAAAGTGATTGTTACAAAGTATTTGTCATTAAAAAAAAAAGCAGGAGTGTTAATTGAGAACTGCTGAGCTAGGTGAAAGGGGGTAGCAAAGACCTAAAGAAAGCCTGAGTGTGGGGCCAGCAGGGTGGCACAAGCGGTTAAGTGCGTGTGCTCCGCCGCGGCGGCCCGGGGTTCGCCGGCCGGATCCCGGGCGACCACTGACCCACCACTTGGTAAGCCATGCTGTGGCGGCGTCCCATATAAAGTAGACGAAGATGGGCACGGATGTTAGCCTAGGGCCAGTCTTCCTCAGCAAAAAGAGGAGGATTGGCATCAGATGTTAGCTCAGGGCTGGTCTTTCTCACACACACACAAAAAAAGCCAGAGTGGCTGGTGTGAAAGAAAATAAATGACAGAGGGTAGGGGAGGGAGAGATCATGGGGGACCATGATAATGATTTTGCACTTTATTCTAAAGGCATGATCAGATTTGTGTTTTGAAAGATTATTATTAAATAAAAATTTTTTTAAATATGACCATTCTTGTTGCTAAGTAAAGAACAACTTAGAAGGGGACAAAGAGATATTTAAGAGGGAAAACCGGACTTGGGAACAGCTTAGATGTGTAGGGGGGTGGGGAGAGGAAGGAGTCGAGGATCCCTTCTGGATTTCTGCTTCAGCAGATGTGTGGATGGTGACATCACTTACTTACATACAGAATCCTGGGGGAGGAACTGATTCATCTGAGGGAGGCAGATCGAGAGTTCCATTTTGGATATATTGAATTCGAGATGCCTATGAAATACCCAATTCGAGATGTCTAATGGGCAGTTGGATAGAGCTGGATAGACTGCATCTCTGCAATGTGAGGGTCAAGATCAGGAAATGGAAACTCCAAAACGGAAGCTACTATGAAAAAAATAAGTGAATGAGAGTAATGATTTGTGGCAGGCCTCCCAGAAAATAACCCTACCCTAAATAACCTCTATACCTTTGTTACTGCTGGGGCCCTTTAAGCCAAAGAGTTGTGGAGATCTTTGCACTAATCTAATCTGACAAATAGAAAATCAACTCTAGGGCCGGCTCTGTGGCTTAGCGGTTAAGTGCGCGCGCTCTGATGCTGGCGGCCCGGGTTCGGATCCCGGGAGCGCCCGGAGGCACCACTTCTCCGTCCAACGCGAGGCCGAGTCCCGCGTACAGCAACTAGAAGGATGTGAACCTATGACATACAACTATCTACTGGGGCTTTGGGGGGAAAAAGCTGAATAAATAAAATCTTAAAAAAAAAAAAAAAAAGAAAATCAACTCTAATGCTAATTAATTTTTATAACATGTCTGATGGAAGGAACTATAACAGGAAATTTTGGCGACTGGTACGGAATGTTGAAAAAAGGAAAACTGGAAGGAACAATCTGCCTCATAATAAGGAAGGAAATCTTGGTCCAGGCACCTTAATTGCTCTAAAAATTGATTGTACTACAATTCCCTACAATCCGTTATATTTAGAAAAAGAAGCCCCTTGCAGGTGCAAGGCCTATCTGGGGCATTGTTCTCTTTGTTCTGATTCTGTGCTCACCAGGAAACAAATCTCGCCTCCTTAGGGGGCCCATCCTTCAATAGGATGGCCCTGCTCCCAATTCCTTGGTGAACCTCATCTGCCGCAGCGAACGCCTACAATAAGACTTGGGTTTATCAGTCACGCTTGTGTGAATCTGGCTACTGCAACTCAGTCCCCCCAAAATACAGATACTTCATGAAAGTCTGACCTGAAAAAACCCTTTCTGTAATCATATTGATTAGAATATAAATGTCTACTTTGCCATAAAGAACCCAAATGGGGCAATTAACTCCAGTTGGTTGCTTCTCTCTGAGCCATCCCTGGGGGCTCTTTTTACTGCATTCTAGAAAGAGTCAACCTGGATGGAGTCCCCTAAATAAACGTAGAGATAAAGAAATGTGTGCCCCAAATCAGTTGCATCACAAAGGGACAGTACTACAGTTACGTCTGTAATGCTATTTAAATTACCTTTACTTTTTCCTCTAGTGTATTCTTAAACATTTTCCCCAAAACTTTCCATAGTCTTCCATCTAAAGCTGTACTATCTTATGTCCTTATTTCAAAAGGCAGTTTTAGATTTCTCTCAAACTTCCCAAATTAATTTTTTTTTTTCAGTTTAACCAAAACAAAACCATGCCATACAGTCGACTAAACGAGTAGTTGGGAGAGAAAGGTTGCTGCAATTACAGAAGTTTTAGAAATCAGTCTTCACCACGACAGTGGTCCCCAAACTTTATGACACGTTTGAATCCTCAGGGGATTATACCACCGCTGCCTGGCTCTCACCCCAGAAACAGGGACTTAGTTGGAAGGTGGTGCAATCTGGACAATGGAATTTTTTAAAGCTTCCCCGATGATTCAAATGTGCAGCAAAGTTTGGGAACCACTGATCTAAGGCATTGGATAACTGGGCGAGGAAATGTAAAAGTTCAACTACTGGGGCAATCTGGTTCCATAAGTGAACAGAGTGGTTATGGCATCCTTTACGATGCTGTATTCATCGTTTCTAACAAATCACGCAGGCTTTGTCTGTTTCGGTATATTCAATCACATATTCTGGATAAATCTGATCTTTCTGAAAGATGACAAAAACGGAAGGATTACAACTTGTATCCACACAGCTGTGATACGGTGGAGGAGGGCTTGTGTAACTTGCATTTCCTTCAATAAAATCTCCAACCAGAACTCGGGCTGCAAACATAACGATGTCCTTGGGGTCACCTGGGTAATTTTTATGGGAATTGATGGCATCTTTTGTGAAGTAATTTCCTAGAAATAATCAGAAAAAGAAAAAGGTTAAGAATTATTATAAGTGGTCACTTTGGCAGCACAAATATGAACATTGGAATGATACATAGAAGATTAGCATGGCCCCTGCGCAAGGATAATACGCAAATTCATGAAGCTTTCCATATTTAGAAAAAAAAAAAGAATTATTATAAATAAGGTATGTAGTTTATAAGATTCTTTACACATAATCAGATGATAGGCATTGACTAAGCATGTGTCAACAATGCCTTATGGATACTTATAAACTTTGTACTTAAAAAAATGTTTATTACACAAGTAAACTTGAATACGGTGTATAACCCTACTGAAATGACAGAACCATCTGCTACTGTGCGGGGCTCACAGTGATGGTGTGAGCCACTGGGTACCATGACCAAGTGTTGATATCACAGTGGCCCAATTTATGCAGCGTGAGTTGAATTGTAACTGATGAACCAAAGATACCGCAGCAGAGGCCATTTTATATTGTGTACATTTTAAGGAACAAAGATCATTTACTACTGATGGGAAGGTCCTAGAAAATGTGAAAGGGAGAGATGTAGCATAAGCAAGCAATTCACCCTGGCAGAGGAGCTTTTCAAAGACAGTTGATCCATCATCCTCAACTCTAAAACCTTTGATAATCACTGATGTTTCCATACTCAACAGATGAACAAGGATTTCCTGACAAATTAAAATTTCCTATTTTCATCATTGCCAGATGCTTTTCTGCCCTTTTAAAGGAAATGAGTATATATTTCAAATTCTACTTTTCTATCAAAATTTAATAAATCAAATGAATTTGCTGCATTTATGATAACAAATTTTTTTTTTAATTTTATTTATTTATTCACTTTTCCCCCAAAGCCCAAGTAGATAGTTGTATGTCATAGCTGCACATCCTTCTAGTTGCTGTATGTGGGACGCGGCCTCAACATGGCCGGAAAAGCGGTGAGTCGTGCGCGCCCGGGATCCAAACCCTGGCCGCCAGCAGCGGAGCGCACACACTTAACCGCTAAGCCACGGGGCCGGCCCAGTGATAACAAATATTTAATACATTTTTCATTTATTTTGTTTTTTTATTATTGACTTTTTTTATAATTAAGATGTTTGGATTCCAGAAATATTGCTCATCCTGAATAGGTCAGATACTGGATATTCTGGGTAAATGACGTTCAACTCTATTTAGAATAAAAAAATGAAAGACTACCTATGCTGACCTACCATTTCCAGTTCCCCTCTTCTTCCCAGACACAGTTAACGGCTTGGTAGGAATTCTCTCACACTGTTTCTATGCATTTATGTACATACATACACATATTCTGATATAGTTTTATGCTCATTTATTTGATCATAAATAGGATCATACTATATGAACCATTCTACAACTTTTTTCCACTTTAGTCCTAGAAATCTTGCTATGTCAGTACATCTAGCCCCACCTCATTCTTTTCAGTGGCTGCACAGGGTTTCACGTATGGATGTATCATCATTTATTTTACTCCTGGATTAATGAAAACATAGTTTGATTTCACTTTTTTGCTATTACCAACAACACTTCTAAATAAATGTTTCTAAAAACATCCTAGGAAGTGTACCTTTGAGAATCTGTGTGAGTATTTCTGTAGAACAGACTGCAAAACTATAATGGCTGAGTCAAAGAACATGAGCATACTAAATTTTGACAGATATTGCAAATTGTCCTCCAAAAGTGGTCCAAAAATTTTATCACCAACAATGAAGTGTTGTTTCTCCACATCCTTGCCAACATTGGATATTATCTATCCTTTTAATTTTTGTCAATACACTAGGCAAAAAAAAATTATCTGATTTTAATATGCATTTCCCTGAATACTAATGACACTGAGCATCTCTTCATGTGATTATTGGCATATTTCATATGCTTTTTCTCTGAACTGCTTTTTCATATCTTTTTTTTTCCTATTGTGTTGTTTGTCTTTTTCTTAGTGATGTGTGACCAAAACAAGCTTATATTCGGGAGACAGAAGGCCCATCAGGATCTTTTTATAGTCTTACAAAGTGGGCCAGTAGATAGTCGGAAAATGACCAGGACACAAACAAAAATCTTCCACCCACTGTATTTCTATTGTGCCACCCACTCCACCTCTGTGGTTGACAACGACTCTCCTTCCTAGCCAGTTCCAGCTCCTCAGTTATAACAGATGGACAATATCCAGACTGCTCTGCTAGAGCCTCTGCAAGCAAGGTGGGGGTAGAGGCTGTGCCTTCTTTATTTGTATTATTTCTCACTGTGACGGATACCCACTACATATTCTGTATCACACTACTCACCTCTCTACATCACAGTACAGTCGTGCCTCATTTCTTAAGTGTCTGCAAAGAGCCATTCCTTTTTTGCCACTTTCCAGAAATTCTAAACAATTTAAGCTAATTTTGGAAAGAAATCTTTCTACAGCATATACATCTCTCTATTTTTAAAATAGAACCAATTCATCTTACCTTTTCCTTTACTGATATGTCAGATGTAGATATTAATTCTGACATATAATGTTACAACATAGGGATGCCCTCTTGAGTTACTAGGGTGGATAGAGCCATTTACTCCTAAACCAATAGCCCCAGCATGAGAAAAAAATGTTAAGTTGTGTTTGTGTCTTGCAGATCATTTTTCCTCATTCCCCACTTAAAAGCTGTTAACTTTTTTTTTCTTGTGCTGCCTGCCTCTTTACTCCCACTCCACACTTGCTGGGCTGAGGAAAAAAACACTGTGTCTGAAATAAGACTAAATGGATTCTGATGTTATCCTCCCAAGGATAAACAGACATGATCTTCAGTATAGGAATTTTATGACAACAACCTGGGCTACTCATAACACAGTTGTTCACTCTTTCAGATTCGGAGTTACATTCCAGAAAGCTAACATTTCCAGATAAGTGAATTCCAGTTATGCATGTAAAATGTGTAAAGTAAATAGTATGGAGTTACTGGTAAAAATAGATTTGACTTAAAGCAAATGGAATTAAACCAATAGACAGGAATTTCATCCATATTTTTCTTCAGTGTGCATTTTAATTGCTTGATAAAGCCATAAAACCTATTTTCAACATTGAGATAGTTGTACATTTTTTTTTTGGTTTGTTTGTTTGCTGAGAAAGATTCACCCTGAGCTAACATCTGCTGCCAATCTTCCTCTTTTTTTTTTTTTGTACATGAGCCACCACCAGAGCATGGCCACTGACAGACGAGTGGTGTAGGTCCGTGCCTGGGAACCAAACCTGGGCTGCTGAAGCGGAGCATGCCGAACTTAACCACTAGGCCACCGAGGCTGGCCCTGTACATTGTTTTAATGGCACTGAGTTACTTTTATGCTTGCTCAATTAAATTTTTTTCTTTTTGTAAGAAAGTCTGGGTACTGATTTGATTATTTGATTATTTTTGTTTATCAGTGATAACTGAATGAAAGACTTGTGAAGTCAATGAAAAATGGTTCTTTATACAGGTATTATAGATCTTTAGAGAGTATCTTTATCATTCTCCATTTAGAAAAAAAGTAACTATTATCCTAAATAACTGGTGTTTTAAATGAAGCATCAGTTGTTTTTAAATCATTCTTATATAATCCAGAATCTACATTTGTTTAAATGATCCAACCCTAACACCCAACCTTGTAGCGCACTCTCCTAAGACCTGAGCTCTTGTTGGAAATACCCCTAACAGGGAATAAATCTCCCCTGAACCCCAACATCCTCTTCCTCCCTTCTGCCACAACCTGGATCTAGGGAACCTCATTTCTGGCCTGGACACTTGAAACAACCTCTTAACTGTTCTCTCCACCTGCAGTCTTGGTCCTGTCCACCCTTTTGACACAGCGCAGCCAGAGTCATCACGTCCCTCCCTTTCTAAAGGTATTGGGTGCTCTGCGGCTGTCCTCAGAACAAAGTCCATCCCCTTACCATAGCTTGCAAGGTCTTTCGGGACCTGACCCCAACCTACAGCTCCAGACCCATCTTTTGTCACTCCCGCCACACCTTAAATGTGCTGTGCTGGCCACAGCCTCCCCGGCCTTTGTCAATTTCTCGTCTTCATAAACACTATTCTCCCAACTTTTTTTTATTTTTACTTTTTTGCTTAGCTAGCTTTTGTTTGTCCTAAAGGTCACACTTAGACTTCATGATATGCTGCTTTTCTGCAATCTACTTTGATTCATTTTTTCATTCATTCAATATAATTGATGTAATGGGATAATACTGTCAAAAACATTGTGCTTTTTTTTTTTTTTTGCAATTCCTTATACATAACCATCTTTTATTTAGCCAGACACATTCTCTAGCCTCAGAGAGAATTAGAATCATTAAACGTAATATATATATGGCTGGCCCCGTGGCTTAGCGGTTAAGTGCACGCGCTCCGCTGCTGGTGGCCCGGGTTCGGATCCTGGGCGCGCACTGACGCACCGCTTCTCCGGCCATGCTGAGGCCGCGTCCCACATACAGCAACTAGAAGGATGTGCAGCTATGACATACAACTATCTACTGGGGCTTTGGGGGGAAAAAATAAATAAATCAAATCTTTAAAAAAAAACCCAAAAAACGTAATATATAAGAAAAAAGAAAAAATCATGGTCAGCTTCTGATTTCCAAAATAGGATCTAGAAATGCATTGCAAAAAATAAGGGGATTTATTAACTAGAAAAAAACTGAATAAGACCGGGGGAAGAAACCTTCTCTAGATTGAGAGTCCAAAAGGGTCAAGTTGGCTCTGACTCAGTCATTCAGGGACCTTGGGCCCCACCATCCTGGGCCTGGGCCCGGAGGGTAGTAAGTGGCTGGAAGTCAGAGATGACAGAGGAGTCCAGTAGCAGAGGAAAGCCGGTGCCCCACCCACTTCCCATGTAGACCACCAACATTCCAATTCTCTGTAGCTTCCTACGGGTTTTCTACATAGACACTCATATAATCTTCAAAAATAACATTTTTGTTTCTTTCTTTCCATCTATTTAGCATCTTGAGGTACCTGGGTTGCAGAATCTTGAGAGATTTGATAGACATTGTGATGCCTGCTGCACTCTGGATCCTAAATATGTTCCCTGGTCTTATTTATTTATTTTTCCCCCAAAGCCCCAGTAGATAGTTGTATGTCATAGCTGTATATCCTTCTGGTTGCTATATGTGGGACGTGGCCTCAGCATGGCCAGAGAAGTGGTGCGTCGGTGCGCGCCCGGGATCCGAACCCAGGCCGCCAGCAGCGGAGCGCGCGCACTTAACCGCTAAGCCACGGGGCCGGCCCTGTTCCCTGGTCTTATATGCCCCCCGTCCAGCCTCTCGAATCCAGTCTATACCAGGACTGGTCCGTCTTTGCTTGGCTATCCCCAAACACGTGCTTCCTTTTCTAACTCACCTTGCTTCTACTTTTTATCCAAATCTGAGATTTTATAATCTCCTCTGACTATTAAGTTGGGTGGCTTTTACCTAACCACTGCAGTTCTTACCCTTGGTCCAGACTGATCAGCAGTTCTGGCTCAACTTCCCAGCTCTTACGAACTCTTAGTAACTTGTCTTCCACTATTATCCCCCATCTCCCATTAGGTGCCTGGTTTCCACCTCCAATTTAATCCCGCATCTCCCATTAG